GGTTTGAAAACTAACTTACACTGTGGACAAACGAAACTACATGGTTTGAAAACTAAGTTACACTGTGGATAAACGAAACTACATGGTTTGAAAACTAAGTTACACTGTGGACAAGTGAAACTACATGGTTTGAAAACTAACTTACACTGTGGACAAATGAAACTACATGGTTTGAAAACTAAGTTACACTGTGGACAAACGAAACTACATGTGGGGGTGTTATAATGTGATGGTCAATCCCAGTATTTGCTGATAAGGAGTAACCCCAAGAGTTGATGGTGGGTGGTGTTGACTCTCTGCCTTTTTAGTCTTACATTGCTAAATTAAGCTCTGATGATTGACTGTTTTAGTGGAAAGCATAAACGTACCACAGATCCACTGGCAAACTGACAATTGCAACATTAGCCTTTTCTTTAACAATGTTTTTTTTCTTCAAACCAATTCTGTTAGCTTTACAGAAAATATTTTGGTTATAATTAGGCGAATACAATAAGCACGTTGAACAAAAGTATCTAGACAGTACTTGGGAAGAGGTTATCATGTATACGAAAATAACTCGTAATTAGATATTCCTGTGGTGTAGTTTTTATAGATTAGATAACTGAAAGTTGTTGCTAATCATATAAACTGAATAATAGAAAGCTCTTCTAACTTATTTGAATATAGTTATGTTTTAAAAAATAATAACAATAAAATGAAGCATTACAATATAATCTATCTCTTTTTGCAAACTTAAAAATAATATAGTTTGTTTGTTTCTAGACCTATAAATTTTAAGTAAGGAACTCTACATTCAGAATGTGTAAGGTAATGGTCAGAGATGGTCAAATGTAAAGACAAAATTCAGGCACTGTCTTTTCAGCACATGTAAATGTGCTAAGATAGAGCTGTTTATTCTCTGTGTAAAATGTGCACATAATGGATGATGCATAGTTAATTTTTACTAAGGAATAATTTTTCTAGATTGTTCTTTTTGTGCAGTGTATAAGGAAAGACAACTAACACTCAGGTTCTTTCACTGCAAATTTTTCTAATAACATTTCATAATAAGTTCCATTTTTTCTTGTGCGTGTGATTTTATTTGGTCTTAACCACACAGCTGCATAATGTTCATGTCAACTGCAAGTACTGATCCCCCAATTTGAGCATTATTACTGAGCAACCACAGTGATTTTATTGACTATACTTTGAATAAATTATGAAAAATGTATTTTTGGTTATCATTATTATTAATAATAACTTTCCTCTTGTTCTGTTGGAATATCAATTAGTTAAACTCATGAC